TTCGGCGTGTCAATAGCCTGCGGCGTTTAGGAACAGTGATCTTTGACCTACGCGCCCAATACCGAGCTATGAAACTAGCCTCCAAATAAGACCCTGGGGCTCCGAATGTATCCATCTTCAAAAATTTCCATAGGAGTGTTGGATTTGCGGCTTTCAAGGTTTAGTCGAGGATGTTCTAGTAAAAAATGCCGGAAGGCCCTCTACAGAGTTGTGCATTTTGGTTTAAGTCTGCTTATTCTGGAAACTCATGACCCCCGTGCAGTGGCTCATGCCACCATCTCGCCTGCAAATTCACGCAACCGATGTTTTGGAGTATTTAGACCCATTTGTGCATTAAGCCGATGAGGATTTTCAGGTAGGCCAGCTGCAAAGTGCAACTTCGGGCTAAGAAAATCAAAGAATATTGTTCAGAGGTATTGGTGCGCAGCGTACCGTGGACGATATAGTCTAGAAATAAACACACGAACGTGCAAGTGTCGGTGAGATTGCAGGAGTGAAAGTAAAAAACGAATTAAGGAAAACCAGGGAGGGCACCCTACGGTCATTTGGAAAATGGGATCGGAGCCACCGCAGCCAAGACTTTCTAAACATCAGGCTCAGCACGCTGCGGGACAGTCCGAAAGATTTGCTGCGATTACGTATAAATGCAAGTCAAGTGATATAGCCGAAATAGTAAGTGGATCACTGTTCACGGTGTCAAACAAACAACCAAGTGTGAACTTGGTCACAAGTGATGATTTTACTGCGTCCAGCCTGCGCTAATCGTGTAGCGGTCACACAAATGCCATATGTCTCAAGTTCGAACTGCAACATTGCCGCCGAGCTGTAATGTTCATAAACTCCGGTTACAGCGTAACTCAAGTTCACGGATTCTTCTTTTCGGTGTGGACGCACGATGGCAGCTGTGCCGGAATACAACGAAAGCTGTTCAAACGAATGTGATGTGAACGAGAATTTCGCAAATTCTGCAGTCACCTGCAACTTATCAACACCATGCTCTACGCATGTAGCAGTGTTCAGCGGCTTCCTTTTCAGTGAACCGGCCTCTTCCGACCTATTTTGTTTAGGTTTTGTGCCTTTTAACAACTCCGGCACGTAGTTCGAACTGGATACATTGTTCAGATCTGCCATTTAACTTATACGTACATGGCGTTCACGGGGGCGCGCTTTCGAAGTTCTGGGCCAGAGCTATGTGGTGGTAGATTCGCTCAACTACGTCGGGATTTGTAAAGGTGTGGGGCCACTAAATTTAGCCAGCATGTAAGTGTATCTAGTTGTGGACTCGTTCACGCGACACGTGTAGCAGTTTTCAATTTACTTTGCTGGAAAATAGCTTTTTATATTTAGGTTGATGGAGCATAAATTATTTTTGACGTGGAAAAATACCATTTGACCCCAAACCAGTAAAACCGCATGGCTCGGTGTGAGCACAATTCAAATAGTTTTCACTTTGACCGCCTGTTCGTTTAAATATGTAGAAGACTTGCAGTATTTCGTTGTTAGCCTACACTTCGTATACTTTGTCAGTTCACATCATAGCAGTGGATTTTGCGGGACACCTGGTACAGGTCATCTGCATTCAGCGTACCTGAACCTCGATCAGGCAAGTCATTCTACTAACCCAAACTTTAAACTCCTCCACATCGGACCAGGGAGCGCTCACAAGTGGATGACCTCCGCTCTAAACTCCGTCGTCATTTGTATCCTTGAATGTCGTGGGGCCTTATGCACATCATGTGGGAGCATCGTTCATCCCTCTCCTAGTACCGCGCCTTCACAGATGACCTGCATGTTGCTTTGCTTTTGTCGTTCACACCAAACTTTAGTATAATGTATGTACTACTCGGAATTAAACCGCACTCTAGTGATATCCCTATATAAGTTGTCGGTAGTCCGCGGACAGTTGTATGCGTTTTGCTTGTGAGCTGTCTCATATTCTGGACATCTCAGAGCTAATGTTTTCCCACACTTGGTTGTGTTACCACCAAGAAATAAAGTGAGAATTTTCATCCAGAATGACCGGACGCAAGCACAATGGCCAGGTATCACCGCTTCGTAACCTAACCTACGTGTTGTTGCGTCAAACGTGCACTCTAATCTGAGGGATACTTCAAAAGATATGCGTTTCAAATCCCGAATACCTGTCGACTGCCGCTAACCTTAGTGTCAAAAAGCAGCCTTCGGGACCATAGTCCAAAGCTTCAAACATTCGTCCCAAATGTTGTCTGCACTACTCTATACTTGGTTGCTGTATCGAACCCGCTTATCTCCTACTCTGATTTCATCCAGTGGACGAGATGGCCCAAGTGGTTAGCGCGAATTCACTGACCGGAAGGTCCGTGTTTCGAACCCGACCTCTGTCCCTCGACTTCCCCTGTCTAGGCTTGGGCAACCTGGCAGTATCCCAGCCCTCGTGCAACCTTCGGGTGGCATGGCAGCTAGGCACTGAAAGGGTGCTGCAGCTAACGAGAAAAATCCAATCAACAATTCAAGACAATTGTTAAGCTATGCTTTAACACCTGTCGATAGCCTTCTCAGCTGGTTCTATCCAACCGGAAGTCCACCAAACCACTTTGTCCTTGAAAAATAAACGCTTAACCATCATTCTATAAACCCTGTGAGCTTCACCCCCATTCTAAATGCATTAAATAATCGCAGCCATGTCCAATTAAATTTGAGACTTTTGAACTGCACACTGTCGACAGCATGACATCAGTGTTCAACACTGATACTTCGCTGTCATACAGCCACAGTTTATTTGGAATGAGTGGACTTCGCGGGTGGCAGATGCTCAAAGCGAAACTGTGTGTGAAGTCATCGGGGCACTGTTTCCATCCACTTACAATCGTGAGCTGTACCAATACTATATGCCATGCCGGTCGTCTCGTGGTCCCTTCAGCCATGTCGCCTTAGCTGTCGCATAGACCATAATTCCATTCAACGGTTGGTTTTCTGTAGATCCCAGCCACAGGCATTTCAGTCTTACACCGAAAGAATTTACTGATGCAATGCCGCTGCGTCTGCTTCTCAGACGTCCTATACTTTTTATCTTGGCTTCAAGTGTGTGAAATCTGCTATTGACACTTCATCGATAAATATTTTATACTTTTTGAAGCCCAACCACAAAATCCATGTACAGCAATTTAGTTTATGACACCTTCGTTAGGAAGATGTAGGGGCCTCACAGGGAGGCTAAATCTTACCGCGATGTTGCATTTTTTCACCTTCATAACCCACCGAGAAATTATGAGTTTGACACTCGGAAAAACCCCATACCAGGTCGATCAGTGGGTAGTGGTCTAAATAACACATTCTCCTGGACCTCCAAGTTTGGGGTTGGAACATATGGCGGCTTGCTGCTTAAGAATGTAAGCTGATCGAGTGGCCAACCACCGCTGCCTTGCGGTTAGGCTTTTTAGCTGAGGTCTCCAGTGGAAGAACCTAATCGTCCTCTCCAGGTCTGGACACCCTGTCAGTATCCCATTTCATGTACAAACACTAATTACTCACCTACAAATAATCTCATGCGACACCGGCCGTCACATGGCGCCATTAACCGACTCACGTCGAAACCATTCGAACACGTATTCCTCCTGCACGAGAGTACAATACCAGTCGACAAGCTGTCAGACTTAAAGTGCAGTAGCACGGATCAACATTCTTTGTCGATCCAGAAGGCTAAAGAGCTGGGACAGGTGAGAAATTCTTGGAATATGCGTAAACTACTGCAATCTATACGTGCATCGGGCCCAAATGAGCCTCTGATAGCGGAGCAGTCATTGATAACGACTGCCTTATCTTTGAAAAGAGCAGCGCCTGGTTCGTTAGGATGGAGACTTTCAAAACCGATTCGACTGGGCACCAGAAGTTGGTCAGCCGGTTTCCCAGCCGGCAACAGTGCTGGGCATTGGTCTGGGAGCCTAATATGGTTTTGGAGCGAAGCAAGTGTCTTTTATCCCTCAAGTATCACTGCCCTGACAGACTCCCACCCTATATGTTCAAAGATAGTGGCAACATCAGTAGATATTTTTCTGACTTATCTGCCTCTGTCGTCATCATTGACAGCATGACATTAGCGTTCGGCACTCATACTTCGCTGCCGTGCAACCATGGTTTATTTGAACACCTGGTGAAGAAAAGAACAAAGGTGGACGGGGTAAGGGACTTGAAGCTAGCTTGCTACAATCATTACGAGGTTCCTACACCTTCAGACGCTCATTCAGGCAATGGGAATAAAAACTGACAACAAAAACGCCACTGACATCGATTGGCAGCCATATGCCGCAGCGTCTCCAACCAGGCGCAGCGGGCATCGCGCGGTCCTCATCATAGAAGATAAGCATCACCGTTAGCACCCAGACGTTTTGCCATCTCCATACCCCCTGCCAAGTTAAGGGTTCGCCACGTCTCTGCTTCCTCCACTGAGTTGGCACTCCCTTCGGCAAACGATGGTTAGGCACACGTAACAGATGTCCCAACCAACGCAGCTCCTGGTGCTGAACATATCACTTAATGGAAGTATCCGCGGCACAACCGAAAACTCGCTTTCCAAACGCTTCGATGTGGATTTGCCGGCACGAACCCACACGAGCTTTGGTTCTGAGAAAACGATTGTCGAACACCTGTAGACGTCTCGATCCCGCTGCTCGAACGGGCCAAGTCTCACAGCCATACAACAAAACAGGGTGCATGTAGCCTTATACCTACGTCCTTCGAGATTCAGGGAAACCCTACTGACGCCATGAACTAATCCTGAGGGCTTTACTGTCTGGAACTCAATTCCTAAAGATTCGGCCATGCCAGGAATGCCATCAGGGAGCAACCCGACGAAGAACACCGTGTCCCCGTACTGCGAGTAGTCGTATTACGAGGCGGTCTGGAGGTGAAATCGTACTGCCTTCGCGATACGATTAAGGCGGTAACGTGTTCCTTCCAGGTGACCAGGATGTTCGTATTTATGGTAGCAGCGATGCTGCCTCTCCCCGAGGAAGGACGGGTTAGAAAAGGCCGACCACAAAAACTGCACACTCCAATCGCCGAATGGTTGACCGTGACCGTCGGCGCATTGTTTAATAAGGTCGAATTACTTTTAAAACCAAAGAGCGTGTTGCTGCTCAAAAGTCACCTGCTGTGCGCAGCCGCATGAGGAATGAGACAGTACTGTCCTACCCCCTGCGCCTTCGGGCCAGGCCGGTCCCCTACAGCCAAGTAGGTCCGACTATTGAGTCAGTGGCTCAAGGTGGGACACCTCAACTAAACACCCTTCTTCGGTCTGGGAAACGGGGAAGTATCATTGGCCCTTGCAGCCCTTCGCTCACTTGCCTTCCCCCTCATTCCCTCCCAAACCATCGTACAATGAAGAGCAATCAACCCCTGTCAACCCATCTGGTTGAGGACCCTAATCGTCCTCCTGTCTAGGTGTGGGCGCCCTGGCAGTATCCCAGCCCTCGTACAACCATGACCTACACAACTAACAATATTCTCATGCCACATCGGCCGTCGCGTGGTACCATCAGCCGGGTCGCCTTACTTGCTGCATACAGCAGGGCGGGTAAGCGAAAACAGGCTACTGCTGACGCCTCCCTTCTTTCTCCTTCACATACTTTTTCTTCCCCCTCTCCCCACCCCATTAATAACTCTCTCCTTGTAGGCCCAGCACTTAGGACTGATGACTCCGTTCGACATGCATTGGTTTTGCGTGCAGCATCTGCTCGTCACATGGTGCCGACATCT